TGGCTTCAAATCAATGCTAATAATAAGATATTAGACGTTCATTTAAATTTATATTTATTTATTTGAATAAGAATTACTTTTCAAAATACATTAATTTCATTGATTTACTTACTTTATATCAGGATTTATGCTATCATTGCGAAAATCATATTCTGCCAATAAAGGATGCTCCAATTCGATGCATCGTTTTTGTATAACTTCAATTTTCTCCTTTTTACCATAATAATGTAGGTAATGTTGATATAAATATATTATATTATATTTTATATAAACGTAAAATAACAGATATATATATATACCTGATTCACTTCAAAACTAACTGTTTTTAATTCCTGATCTTCTTCTTCATCTTCATCCTCCTTGTCGATTTTATCGTAAAAAGCAGTTATATCTTCTGGAATGGTAGCTATTTCTGTTAATATTGGATTAGTTTCAGTCTCTGAATTCGTCTTATTAGGTACAGATGCATTTACAAGTGTTTTTGATCCAAACTATATTCAAACAAAGGAATAAACATGTATCTTATCCTACTATCAAAATTATTTGATAAATTATTATATACGAATATTTCAATAGACCTGTGGAATTTTTATTTTCGCTTGAATATTCGTAACAATATCATTGGTTTCATCTTCCACAAGCTTTCTTAACCGACATTCTTGAATTACTGGATCCTTTAGTAATCGTTGCAACACTTCAGGAAATGGTGATTCAATGAAATATTTATTATGTTTTAGGACAAGTTTAACCTGCATGTAAAATATATAATATGTAATATTTTATTAAGCTAATTTTTTTCTCGACAATATTAAATATTTATCAAAAATTGTTTTTCTACTCACTTTTCCATAAGACAATGTACACAGTTTGATAAATTCAATTATACCATCAGGAATACTAGTCTTACTCAATCTTTTTAAATATTCAATTATATCTTGTGTTTGTAGGCCTACACTAACTGCAGCGTAAAGCGAATATGCAGTTAATTTATACTATAAAATAAAAGTATCTTATGTATTGTACAATCATGGATGGAATAGTTTCAATAATTTTTTCAATGGATTTTGCAATGCAATTTGTTTACCGAGAGTAATTGATTCTTATTTATAGAACTGTAAATAAAAGATCAATCGCTCTCGATAAGCAAATTGTATTCCAAAATCCATTGAAAGTATTGCAACTAATCTATTCAAAACTGTATATCACTTGTTCTCTTTTTAATGAAATTTAGAATTTTCTAGTTTTCGAATTTTTAATCTTACTTCGTGAATATGTTCAGGTCGACATACAGGTTCTGATATAGCTATTAAAAAATCATGAGCATGTTTATACACAGGAGAAAAGGATTCCAAAAAAATATGTCCATTTGGCGCCTAAGAAAATACGAAGATATTAAATTCAAACTTATGCTTTTGATTTAGTCTATTTAGAACTTAATTAGTTCATAATTCCAATAATCACATGACATATAAAATGTACACTTGATATCCAAGACATTATTATGTCTCTTAATTTTTTAATTTATTTTATAATAGTTTTAAAAAATAAATTTAATTCTTTCACCAAATTTTAAAAATGGATACTTACTACCCATAATGGTCTAGATGAACAATCTGATTTTAAAATCATTTGTGAACGATAATCTTTTGCACCAAATTCATCCTCGATCGCGCATTCATCTTGTTTTTCTACGTCATTTTTTGCTGCATCTGGTATACCATCTGTCTCACTACTGTCTATCGAATCATCATCATTGTATTCATCATAATCGTCCTTGCGCTTCTTCAATTTACCTTTATTCAGTGCAACAGTAAATAAAAACAAAACGTGCACATAATTACTTTTCTTTTTGTATAAATGTATATAATATATTAGTATATGAATACATTAAAAAATTACATGAATATAATACTAATATAAAAACAATTATGTAAAATTAAGAAATGTAATCAAATAATTGAACAAAATACATATGTAGGTTATATACTGTTATCTTTTTTGAAGCGCTTTGGCGGACCCATTATACAAAAATTTAAAATTCAGTTAATTAATAGATTACAATTTCTTCTTTTATTCTTCTTTGATATAAATGTCCCCTTTGAGACATCATCCCTTTTACTCCACCAAAATTTTCAATCTCACGGCACGGAGAAAGAGATTAAACTCAAGCAACCGGTCACAAAAAAAATAGACTCGAGACCATAGTATATGAGTACGGACATTGAGTGGCACCTTTGATGTAATGAGTTTGCGGTCACATGACTCGCCGCCATGTTGTGGATTGGAAAGGCGCTTATAAATTTGAAATTTAATAAAGCTACAGAATGATTTTTCTAAAAAAAAAGACATAATTCGGTCGTGTCATGAAAATTGTTTATAGCGAGTATATTTTTAAATCAGAATTATATAATAATATAACGTTAACGAACTCATTATATAAAGATAATATTCACATTAATAATAATAACATCACCGATGAGATATTATTAGATTATCAACCTTAGGCAAATTTTCGGCGGTATAAAAAGAGCCCGGAGCGTCCGGAGGTAATTGAAGAACGCTATTTAAGAACATTATTTCGACAATTGATATAAATTTGCTATTATTGACATTATTTGGCTTATGCATTATTAAATTCAAGATTTTTTATTATATAAATGTTTCATAAATAAATGTGCATACTTGTAAAACTATAATATCCTATATATTGCAAAAAAATTACAATTTTTTTTCTGCAGTTATCATCTCTATTAATAATCAAACTTTGGCGATAACACTGAAATCACAATTTTAAAGAAAAATCGAGTATTATTGAATGCTAAATGCATAAATACATCTACTAAACTAATAAATCATAAAAATACAATATTATCAATTTTTAACTCTTAATCACTTCAATATTCTCAAGGACGCGAACTCCCGTAAAGATGTCGGTCTTTAATAGTATCTCGTCGATGATAATAATAAGTAAATAATAATAAGTAAATTAAAAATAATAATTAAATATTATGTGAAAATTGTAATTGAATAATTATGTTAAAATGTTAAAAAATAAAAAACAAATTATGTTAAAAAATAATTATGTATAAAAAAATAATATATTGCATGAAAATTGTAATTAAATTTGAACTTATAATTTAATATACATACACATACACACACATACACATACACACACATACACACACCACACACACACACACACACACACATAGGCGTGCGAGCGTTGATCATACTTTATTACAAGAATACTTCATGGTATACAAATATAACAGTCTACACAATATAGTGTATCCAAAAAAATTTAATTTAATTTTTTAGTAAAACTTAATTTTATTAACCCTTTACTCTATTTTTCTCTTACAAATTAAAAAAAAATTAAGCTTTGCACAAACGACGTACTATGGTTTTCACTTGTATAAACTAGTATAAGTTGCATAAATCGAGAGATATTTGGTTCATATAATCCTTAATCTCGACAAATATTAATATTCGTATTCATAGTCCTTCCTTGAGGAATGAGGATTCCTTGTTCCTTTCATATTTTATAAACTTTCCTTAATCAAATAAGAAGCTTTATTCTAGTTCCCTTTTCTCAAGGGAGGTTACAAGTTTCCTTAAGGAGGAGGTGCAGTTTTCATAACCAAGCAAATCTCCAAATTTATTTTGTCACACATCTTTTTACTTTGGATAACTTTTAATTTAGATCTGTCGCATCGATAATTATTTTCGATAGCTTTTTTTTCGGAAATAAATTGTGCCAAAAGCATTTTCTCCTTCTTCGTATAATAAGCATTATGGCGAATTCGACTGGAAACGTGGAAACACTGATGCATATTAAAACCGTTGTACACTGATTTAAATTTTAGTATAAAAATGAAATATAAATATTTCGAATTATGAAATACATATTTTACCTAATTGTGCAATAAAATGCACGATTTAATCGATTTTTATGATTATTTATAAATAATCAAACATATATTTACGTTATTTTGTGCATGTACAGTTTTAATGTGCATCAGTGCACTTAGTGCATCCAATCGAATTCGCTATTAGTTTTATTTTTGTCCATTATTGTTGCAAAATGCTTAATTGCAATTTTATTTAATCAACAATGCCTTTATAATCTTTATTATTCGTAATTCACGATATTAGATTTGCATATATTATATATTGTATTATGACATGCTTCTTCAGTACGTTACTAAATCTCTAAAATATTCCTTCCTTCGGGAAGGCAGACTTGAGATCAGTTATGAAACAAGGAGGCCTTGAAGAATTGAGGAATCTTTCATGGAGGCTTCCTCCACTCTTAAAATAAGGAGAGACTATGAATACAGGTGTGAATCTTTCTGATTAAATGCTACCAACGCTACGCTAGGTTCATGCAACTTGCTAATGCTATCGCGCTATTGGCTCCACGAATAGTGTTGGTAGCGTTTGCACCCATAGCATGAATATCTCCCCGAACTCACTCCTTGATTGCGGTCGATTTGGACGCCCACATGCTTGAAGCACTTGTAATCATCATTCTGTCTTTATCGTTCATTACACGCAAAATAAGAATAAAAGTATTGAAAAGCGTCTAAATCAATCACAGCCCTTTATATATTTTCATCATGATTTTAACTTTTAAGTAAACAATGAGTAATAACTAAAATCTTATTTTAAAAATAACTTGGAATCATGTCAAAATTATAAGAATAAGAACAAAATTAAGAATATTGAATCTGAAGCTCCATTTATACTTGGAGTTTTCTTTAAAAGATATTTCCATAGTATAACAGAGTCAAAAATTAAATGAGACAGGGAGATTTATCTAGATATTTTATTCGTCTTATCTTGCAATGACATTAACAAATTTTTATATACAGGGTTGGCCATATTCGACGGAAAGATGTTTTTTTTTCAATCATGGGAAAAACACATTTTTTGCTGTTCATTTTAAAAATCATTTAATAGGGTTCAAGGATCTTTCCGTCGAATATGGCCAACCCTATATATCAAATATTTAAAATCTAGTATCTTCAATAAAATTACATTTTCTTAAAAAACATGATTTTCTTAAAGAACTTTATAACACCATATTTCAGAGAATTTATCTTCATAATCAAGTAAGAAAGGAAATTTATTAAAATCTGGTTTTTTAAAAGGTTTTAACCACTTTTCTATCGAAATTCCGATTAATAGAATTTTAAAAGTTGTTTCGACAGATGGACGAGTAACAAGCAGCGTTCCTGGTTTTATTGCAGTTCTCAAAAATTTCCATATATCTATTTCTACATCTCTCGATAAATAAAATTCAAATGCATTATTAATGATAATAACATCACTTTGCTCGATTATCTCTGGAACCTCTTCTATTCTTTTGTGCAAGATAGATATACGATTGTCCATTTTAAATTTACATACAATTTCATTTTGGAGGTTGCAAAATTCTCCGTTCATTTCAACACCAATAATTCTTCTAGCATCTGTATATACATACGCCTGTAAAACAAAAACATCAATATGATCAAAAAATTGCTGTAAACAAAAACTTTCTTATTGCTTATTCAGCAATTAATTTATTAATAATATTATCAGTTATGTGTACAATAATACATATTTCTAAATAATATTCTTACTCCATAAAGAACTGCACCTAATCTTGATCCTATATCAAGTATAGTTTTGTTTTCCAAAGTAGGTAGTAGTACTTTAAATATAAAGTACAATCCATCCTGTGACATGGAGTGTGATAAATAAACTAAAATTATAAATATATTTACATAACATAAATCATATAAAAAATAAAGAAAAAAATTATTTTAATTTTACTTACTCAATGGTTGTATATTTCTAGATCTACAATCAGTGCAATAGTATCTTTCTAATTGATTACTATCTATGAGCTTATCAATATCTTCATCATTATAAAGGAACTCATCCATATGCAATGTGATACTAGGATCGCAATCTGAATTCTAAGATAAAAAATATGTTTAATGTTATTTTGATATTTTTCAAAAATTAAACAGTTATTCTTTATATTCATTTATGATAAAACATACCTCTCCTGTTAAAGGAGTGATAAAATTTTCAGATGACAATATAGCATTAAATGGAATCTTTTGTTTAATATCAGAAGCAATAGAATTTAAAATAGACGTTGACTCATCCATTAATTTTTTATTATTACACGCATCATCCCCTATTAATAATAATTTTAATAGGAAAAATTAATTTATTTTGATTGTGGGATTATTATATCAAATAAAATAATTTTATTATTTTTAGTTTGATTATAAGATGTTCATGTACTTTATCATAATCGTAACAAAGAAGCTAAAAATTAATCAAAATTGAGTATAAAGAAAAATATAATTCATTAATTTATTTTCATCGTTTTATTTTATAACAAAATATAACAAATTTATATTTGTACATATAAAAAAAATTATAACAAACCTGAATCATAAGCCATAGATGGTTTAAGTTTCCATTCCTTCATAATAAATACTAAAAATTTTTGTTGATCAGTTGCATTCAACGATCGCATCAATTCAACAAAACTTTGTTTTGCGTCATTTAAATCAATTGGTTTTTTACTCATTTTTTGTTTCACAAAAAGTAGTTTTAAAATTTTTCACCTATATATCTGCATATAAAATTTTTGTTATAATAATAATTTAAATCCAATATACTTGTATGCCTTCATAAAATATAAAACGTCTCAAATTATTATTTACACACATTATTATTAAAACACGTATTCTTCTTGAAGTTTTTCTTTCGGCAGAAAAGAATTTGCGTTCTGGACCTTGTCTTTATGTCATATAATACAATTTCTGTTGTATCTATATATCGCGCTATGTGTTGTTGGGGTTGTCTTAGCACCGAGACACCATCGTGTCCCCTGATTAAAACATGTAATGTTTGTTTGCCTTTCGGATAAAGACAGTTTGAAATATTTTCAACTTTCTTTGTTCGCACTCAAATATGCTCCTATTTATGACAATACACTCCAATAGTTCGCGTCACCGCCCCATGGTGGAAGCAGAGAAAGAGAAGGTTTCTCTCTGGTGGAAATATAATAGGTGTGTTCTGTGCCACTGACGAAATCATAAACTGCATTTACACGGTACACTTAGGATCGGTTTCACCAATGCCAATTAATTTAATCGGCCGTTAACTAATCAATCACATTTCCTGTTTAATAGAATTGATAGACCAATTAGGGTTAATAATTAATCCCGATTAGACTTAATCGGTGTTGGTAAACCAGCTCTAATCGTTTAATAACATCCATAGTTATAAAATTGGCCAATCACTGACCTAGTTTCCACCGAGGGTTTAAATCAGATCAGAATATAAGAACCAACCAACTATAATCGAGTATTTCTCTGTTACAGTCGAACAACAGGGGAATGCTCGATTGTAGTTGGTTGGTTCTTACATTCTGATCCGGATTAAACCCTCGGTGGAAACTAGACCATTGCGAAATTTGTGTACCGCAACTCTTAAGCCGGTTCTACATTAGTTGCAAGCTGATCGCAAATTTGTTGCGATAGTCAATACGAAGCGTTGATTTCAAAATGCAAGCTTCATATTGATATTGCTGTCGCAACAAACTTGCGATCGGCTTACAACTAAGGGACTCCACACAATAAAAGGAATAGGGGGTCGATTTTATATCTTCAAACAAGATGAAAATTACAAAAGTGAACAAATTTACTAGGTGTTGACCAATTCAGTATTCTAGTAAATTCGCTCACTTTTGTAATTTTCACTTCGTTTGAAGATACAGAATCGATCCTCAGAGAACAGAGAACAGAAAATAAGAATTTCAACCTATCAGAAACTGTATATTTCACAATACATGATTTCTAATAGGTTAAAATTTTTATTTGTTCTCTGTTTCCTGTTCCTTTTATTGTGTGGAGTCCCTAATGTAGAACCGGCTTTAGCCGCGCATGTGTCAGAAAGCGGCTGGTCCGGTTCACAACGCTGCCGATTGAAGCCTACTTTTCATTCCCGAATTCAATCTCCTGCTTTCTTATTCTGTGGGCAATACGGTAGCCTTATTTGTCTATATTCATTTTAATGCAAAAAATGGCGGATTGTGAGGGTGCGTTTTGTATTTCTCTAGACTCAGTTGCATGTGTGTTGTGTGCTTGGAAGTGAAATAATATCGATTAAATATTAAAAATATTCTGTATTACATGATATAACATCATATGACATATAATACAGAACGTTTTTCAATGATATTTCCACTTATGTTAAAAAATCGACGAGCCATTCATGATAATGATTTTTAAACTTTGTTTCTGTTTCATTTTTAGAGGGCATAGAGGATATCGATCATCCATCACTTGTTCTGAAGGTTGATCCACCTGACGAGTTACTGGAAGATTTTACCGAAGATTCAACGATTAACAATTCAGCAACACCAACTGATCAGGATGCACATGGTTATGATTATTCTAAAATATTTATATAATTTCTCATATAATTGTCTCATTGGCAAATGCGCATAACAATTAAAAATAATTATTTATCATATAATGAGATATTTAGTCATAGAATATGATAAATTCATGGATTTTGCAGATGAAACAAAACACTGTACAGCAGAGACTAATGACCAAGAATCTACTTCAGCAGCTGTTAAGTCTCTTAATAAGAAACATTGTAAGTTTATATGATTTGAAAAGAAAATGTAATGCGATATTTTCATTATGTATTAGTATATATTATATGTTTGTAGGTTCTGTGCTAGCTGTTTCAAAACTAGAAAATTCATTTGGTATTAATGAATCTTTGAATCCTGTAACTAGCAAATCAAAGTCGTCTATACTGAGACCGTCACAATTAAGTGTGATAACCAATAATTCTACGGGTACTACTGACAAAACTGTTTTACAACCTGCAAAATTTCGCAATCCATTTACAAAAACTAGTGACAATTCTGTAGGTGAGGATGAGTCCATAACGAAGAGCAATAAAACCGAAACAACTAAAGATTTTAAAAGTGAAGAAAAATCTACTGAAGATGTAAAATTGAAATTTTTGCCTTTGGGTGCAAGCACTAAGGAGAATGAAAATAATATAAATAATTCTGTGGCATCCAGTACATCCACTCCTAGTTTTGTATTTGGTCAGAATTTGAAAGAACGTGTTACTGTTTCAAATGATATAGAAAGTTCAAATAATTCAGAGAAAAATGAAATGAGAAGTGAAGAAAGTCATGAAAATGGATCTGAACTTCTATTCTCAAATGCAGCTGCAAGTTGCCGTACCATGGTAAGGCCAGGTTTAACATTGACTCAAGCAGCACAGGTATTGGAAGAAGCTAATCGTGCAAACAAAAGAAAATATAATCAAGTAACATTATTAACTGGTGAAGAAGGAGAAACAAATGTTCTTCAGATAAATTGCAAATTATTTGCCTTTGATAAGGTATGTAGATTTCGAGAATAATACATTTTTTAATATTTGTAATTTGTATTGAAGTTTAAATTAAATTTTACAAACTCAAATGAATTGTAATGGTACAAGTCTCTACTGAATATAAAATTTTAATTGGTATAAAACAAATTTGAATTTTATATTCAGTAGGATCTATATTCAGTTGTATCCTATAGACTATTCCAGCTAATACTAATAGATTATTCCAATGCTGAATGTCAATTATTGATGAAAAAGAAAAAGAAAATCAATATGTCATTCTTCAAATTTAATTAAATTTTATAAATAATGAATACTCAATATAAATTGTATTACATATGTATTATACTAATTTAATACTAATTTCATAGTTGCTATATGTTGTAGAGTACGAGCAGTTGGCAGGAAAGGGGGAGAGGTATGTTAAGACTCAATGATCGAGATGAAGAATCTCGTTTAGTCGGCCGTACTGCTGGAACACAACGTTTGATCTTGAATACAAAAGTATGGCCGGGTATGACTGCAGAACGTGCTGGATCTAAATCATTAAGATTAACTGCTATGGATGTTCACGGGGATATTCGAATCTTTATTGTACAAGCGGCACCTAAAGAAGTTGATCAACTGCACAGTCTTTTACTACAGCGACTTAAACGCGCGCAAGAACGCCATCCTAAGAAATTGGCAACGGACCATTGACAGCCATTGACAATTCTGGCGAGGCATTAAGCATCAGCTTAATTTGTGCAACATAGAGGTCATTAAGATATGAAAGGAGTTAAATTCTTCAGGAATATTAATAAGACTATTTAGTATGCGCAATAGAATGGCTATGATTTGTGCCTTCCTCCAGAAGTTGCAGCTTTCAGTAGTTGCACCAGTATTTATTAAGAGGAGATTAAGTTGTGGCACTTAATATGAAGTTTGACGCTCTTGTACACATCAATTTTTTTTTTTTTTTTTTTAAGAATATAAAACTTGTTTATATCCTTTTCAATCGATATATTCCCTTTTTTTATTTTAAATTTAATGTCATTTTAAATAAAAGGGCGTTATAAAAAAAAACAGATTAAAGCACATAATATTAATTCTATATGTTATAACAAATCTTAAAATAAATTACAATTAGTAATTACGATTCTTTAAAAAAATCTCAAGAATTTTAAAGTATTTATATATATAGGGTGTTCAGCATAACAGTTCGCATGATTTTTCAGATACTTCCAACAGTTAAAAAAAAAGTTGAAAGATGAATATTCATCTATTTTATGCAGACTACAGCATGCGATAAAAGAATTAAAAGAATTTTTTTTTAAATCAAAATCATCTTGAATTTTTTAAGTAGCATCATACAATTTTTTTTCCATAATATTGTATAGGTCTTCAGGACAAATTGAAATTACTATCGAAGTGTCACTTTTATTGATGTTTTATTGATTTTATTGCTTATTTTATTACATAAGTACATAATGTGTATGTATCATAAATATCCATTAGCAAAGGATATTGTAAACATAATAAAAAAAAGATGTAACTTATGTAAGCAAATATTCAAATTGCTTGTCTCCTTAAACTTCTGCTTCTCGTTTCCAAAAATTATTATGCACAGCAGTTATTATACTATTTTGATCCGAAGTTGCACAATCTATAATTATTGTTTTTCAAGGATCTTAAGCATTATTTATTGGTGTTTGATATACAAAAAAACATTTTAGATGTGCCCATGAGAAAAATTCCATAGGGGATAAATCTAGTGTGCCAGCTATTGGACTAGTCCATATATACTTATAATACGATTATGCAAAGATATCTTGAAGATTTTGAACTATTAATTATTCATGTATTATGAGCTGGATCATTTTCTTAACTGTCGGAAGTGTCTGAAAAATCATGCAGATCATTACAATGAACACTACGTGCGTATGTATATACAGGATGTATCTGAAATAACGCCCACTAATCATAGTGCTATTCCTAATAAAAAAACCAAATCAAACCATTTTACATTTTTCGCAATACTTTTTTTAGTTATCCAATGAGCAAAATGTTTAAATCGATGTATAAGACAATTTCAAGATATCCAAAGTTATCTTTAAGAGGATCCTAAAGTCCTATTTTATCATGATTATGATATTTTAGGAAAAATCTCCGAATTAGTTTCATGGATTGCAAAATTTTTTTTTACAGAATTAAAGAACGTACGAAAAGAAATTTCGGAAAACACGATTTCACAAGAAAATCGAAAAAAAAATTAAAATTACTTTTTTTAGCATGTACAGCTGTCATCTAAGGTTAACATTTGCTTGAATATAAGTTTTACAACTTATCGATTGAAAATAAGCATGAAGCGGTATTCAGATTACTTGAACGAACAATACTGAGTTTGTGGAATTAAGATTCAAAGCGCAGAAAAAAATATTTCTCCTAAAATGAAATTACATGCTTTGCAAGAACAACTTATTTTTTTTCCTCTTTTATAGATTCGGAAATTTTTTTCAAAATTAAAGTATACATATTAATCCATGTCTGTGAGGTGTAATTTATTCCGAGAACGACAAATAAATTTCGAAATTGAAATCTTAAGAAAAATTTTTTTCATTTTCGGTATAAATTCCACTTCATAGGCATATATATACTTTAATATATACTTT